ACAGGGTTTTACTGTACTACTAGGATTCACCACTGCAATAACTGGTAACCCAAAAGCCTGCTTTATGGACACCTGCTTAGTACAGACACCTCATCAAGGCNGCCGCACGGGCTGGATCGGACAAGATTAAGGCAAATGAATAAGATGGCAAGACACAAGCAATGCCAAAAGCTTGGGGGAAGTCGCAACGCAGACTTAACCACACCACAAGGAGTGACCCCCCAAACTTTATTGATACCTAACACAACAAAACTCCTCCATAGGGAGGGAGGGTGGGTAACAAAATTACTGTAACTGTTTACTTTCGTGCGAGCTAGACGAATAATGACCAGGTCTGAAATAGCAGAACTTTATAGCTAGACAGTGTCTCAAATCTTGACCAAAGAATACAGTTGTACCCGTAAGCTACCTAGTCTTATCATGATTAAAGTCTAACCATGAATAGGGCCTTGAAAACAGGGACCAATCTGCGCAATGCTAAGAAAAATATGATGACAAACATACGACAAGCTAGTCAGGTTCCAACCACAAATGGCTCTTGTTTGTATCTTAAAAATAGCGTGCTTTCATTCATAAATAAGGCTTTAAAGATCGAACAGAGCAAACAATGGGGCGGCTACCTTAGCCTACCGTTGTGGGCTGAATGCTAAGATCCTAGGGGAAAGGAATCAAATTTCAACTGCTAACCAAATCACTCCTGACTACGTCAGCAAAATACAGTTGACTTCCGATTACTTGAACCTGCCCCAACTCAAACCAAAGTCGATTTCCCCTCGATTTCCTTCTTACATTCACTGTAATTTTACCCTTGATAACTCAAACCCTTGATAACTCGAACCTCCCACTAACTCGAAGTAATTTTTGTTTCCCCTCAGCTCATTTCAATAAATTTTACCCGTACAATGTAATAACTCTAACCATGTCATAAGCACATGACAAGTCGGAAAAAAAAAAGCGTGTACTAAAAATCCGAAATACTGAATTTATTTCCAAACAACCAAGTAAATTCTTTGTCTTTACTTTTTTGTCACTCCAGTTCAAATTCAGTGTCCCTACTTCTATACTTTGTTGCTTAATTGCCTTTCCTTCCCATCCAATTGCTTATTTCCTTGCTTCCAGTTGTTTGCTTCAAACTCCCGATGACTCAAACTTTTTTCGATTTCCCTTGAAGGCTTGAGTAATCGGGAGTCGACTGTATTTAAAAACAAAGAATTGCCAAGATACGCAAGACTGATCCTCGTAATCTTCTTGTCTAAATCATAAAACATACAATATTTTTCACTCGAGAACTTCAGATAGACTTAAGTAAGGAAAACAAAATGGCCCAATCTATTTTTTTTTTACACTGATATGTATGGAACTGAAAAGAACACTTTCCTAATTATCGGTTTACTGCACTACATACATTGCGATGTTGTACTGTTTCTTAAGACAGTCCAATTAAAATTTGTAGTTTTCTGTAGTCTTCTAATTACAGTTCGTCTTTTCCCCCTGCATGTGGTGTTGATGCGTGTTCGAACACCCTCCCACTGGCTAGTAAAAACTGGAGATTCAAATTTCTGACGGAGCGCCGACTCTAGAAAAAGGAGCTTTAACTCATCCAACTGCTGGTGGCCATTAGACCCAGAAGTGTTGCCGTCAGCCAATCCTTCGTCCGTATAGAGGACGTCTATGCAGGTCATGGTGGTTGTAATAATGTTACCTCCAAAGGAAACTATCGATTCAACCTTTCGCCGGTTATCATCTGTGAGGCTGTGACTGCTGTATCTGCACTGCACAATTGGGGCGTTCTGATCAATGGTGGATGGTGGTGATCGCAGAGATGCAGTGATGCCAACTCTCCCGCTTTTGGCGGAAGACTTACCCTTTTTTGCCTTGTCTCCCGCTCTCCCACTGTGGTACATAAATCTCCCGCTTTTTATGTCCACTATAAATATTGAAGACTTTCGTATTCACAGTACGGTTTCTGGGGCATTTTTGCACGTATTTAGTCACCGACAAAGATTATTTCTAGCATCAAAACGATGATTTTGAATTTTGATAGTATGCACATCATGTAAGACATCATATAATGTCCTAAGTCATTCCCATTGGGGGCTGGGTCCATTTTTTTTTGGGGGGGGGGAGGTAAACCGTTTTTCCCAATATCTCGCATTTGAAATATTTCACAGACCTGATTCTTGGCAAGGGTTTTTGTATATTCATCTTTTTTCATTTCCCAGATTCTAGTCCTTCTGTATTGAATGGTTTGCATTTTAGTTTTCATTACGTGACAGTGCAAGCCGAGAATAAGACAGCTTTGTCTCCAAAGAAGATTCTGAATGTTGATTTATCTTTGCTCAAGTGTACAGAATTTTTTGATAGATTTCAGAAAATAAGAGCCTGTTTCAAATTTGAGGCTAAACAGGTTTTTACATAGAGAGGGCTCATCTGGCATATTTTAGTCTAACAGGTTCTTAAAATTTAGGTTCTAAGTCACAGGGTTTTACTGTACTACTAGGATTCACCACTGCAATAACTGGTAACCCAAAAGCCTGCTTTATGGACACCTGCTTAGTACAGACACCTCATCAAGGCTGTGCCCTAGCAGAGCTCAGTGGCCCCTGGCGCCTAACTTTTGCTCTTGGGTGACTAGAAAAACCCAAATTTTTCATACAAATCATAATATGCTGGGCAGCTTAGATTTGACAGGTCCAGAGAACTGGGCTCCTTTCAATGTTTGTTAGAGCACAGCCTTGCTCATCATTACAGACAGCTTGCTTTGTTCCCTGGAAGAAAGACCTTAAACTTTCTCTAAATTAAAATGAACAATTTTATGGTCCCCTCAGTGTCTGTACAACAGGGTTTGACTGTAAATATAAAGAGATCTATAATACCATATTTGAATTCGGAAAAATTGGGGGGAGGGAGGGGCATTACAAGAAAGGAGAGGAGCACAAAAAACCATAGCTGTGTCCTGCCGTGTCATATTGCACTCTTGTGTATGAAATATCACGTTTGGGCCATGTTAAATAATATTAAGACTCAGATCAGATCAAACATCGGTAAGAGATTGCATGCGTGAAAAATTATTCTATCTTCAATAAAGCAAAATCACAACACGCATTCGTAACTTATTTTTATCATTGAATCAGTGATTCATGTTGTAAATTTCACCTATCTTCCAATGAATCACAAATTGTCACATGAAACTCATTTTTCTTCTCTCAAATAACGGAAATTTATTGCAAGATCACAAGCACGTGTTCACAACTTATCATCGAATCGGCGATTTATGTTGTAATTTTCACCTGTTATCTTCTAAATGAATCACATGAAATCACAGCTGGGACAACGTAATAAGAATAATTTTCAGCTCTACAGTTAGGCCCTTTTCCAGTACGAATGACAACAATATTTCCATTTTTTGTTATCCAAAATAAATTTCTTTTCATTTAATGTCACTATTCCGCTTAAGACACACATGAAAACGTAACAGCGCACGCAGGCAAATAAGACAATTACTCCAAGATGGCACAATAAGGCAGGGACACAGCCCTGTGGCAGGTTCTAGCGACTTCAGGTTATGCGCACAGCAAAAACACAAGCCTCACTTATTGTCCCACTACCGTGGGGTAGGACAAGAGCATTGGCAGAGCCTTTCTTATCTCCCCAGCGCCGCACGGGCTGGATCGGACAAGATTAAGGCAAATGAATAAGATGGCAAGACACAAGCAATGCCAAAAGCTTGGGGGAAGTCGCAACGCAGACTTAACCACACCACAAGGAGTGACCCCCCAAACTTTATTGATACCTAACACAACAAAACTCCTCCATAGGGAGGGAGGGTGGGTAACAAAATTACTGTAACTGTTTACTTTCGTGCGAGCTAGACGAATAATGACCAGGTCTGAAATAGCAGAACTTTATAGCTAGACAGTGTCTCAAATCTTGACCAAAGAATACAGTTGTACCCGTAAGCTACCTAGTCTTATCATGATTAAAGTCTAACCATGAATAGGGCCTTGAAAACAGGGACCAATCTGCGCAATGCTAAGAAAAATATGATGACAAACATACGACAAGCTAGTCAGGTTCCAACCACAAATGGCTCTTGTTTGTATCTTAAAAATAGCGTGCTTTCATTCATAAATAAGGCTTTAAAGATCGAACAGAGCAAACAATGGGGCGGCTACCTTAGCCTACCGTTGTGGGCTGAATGCTAAGATCCTAGGGGAAAGGAATCAAATTTCAACTGCTAACCAAATCACTCCTGACTACGTCAGCAAAATACAGTTGACTTCCGATTACTTGAACCTGCCCCAACTCAAACCAAAGTCGATTTCCCCTCGATTTCCTTCTTACATTCACTGTAATTTTACCCTTGATAACTCAAACCCTTGATAACTCGAACCTCCCACTAACTCGAAGTAATTTTTGTTTCCCCTCAGCTCATTTCAATAAATTTTACCCGTACAATGTAATAACTCTAACCATGTCATAAGCACATGACAAGTCGGAAAAAAAAAAGCGTGTACTAAAAATCCGAAATACTGAATTTATTTCCAAACAACCAAGTAAATTCTTTGTCTTTACTTTTTTGTCACTCCAGTTCAAATTCAGTGTCCCTACTTCTATACTTTGTTGCTTAATTGCCTTTCCTTCCCATCCAATTGCTTATTTCCTTGCTTCCAGTTGTTTGCTTCAAACTCCCGATGACTCAAACTTTTTTCGATTTCCCTTGAAGGCTTGAGTAATCGGGAGTCGACTGTATTTAAAAACAAAGAATTGCCAAGATACGCAAGACTGATCCTCGTAATCTTCTTGTCTAAATCATAAAACATACAATATTTTTCACTCGAGAACTTCAGATAGACTTAAGTAAGGAAAACAAAATGGCCCAATCTATTTTTTTTTTACACTGATATGTATGGAACTGAAAAGAACACTTTCCTAATTATCGGTTTACTGCACTACATACATTGCGATGTTGTACTGTTTCTTAAGACAGTCCAATTAAAATTTGTAGTTTTCTGTAGTCTTCTAATTACAGTTCGTCTTTTCCCCCTGCATGTGGTGTTGATGCGTGTTCGAACACCCTCCCACTGGCTAGTAAAAACTGGAGATTCAAATTTCTGACGGAGCGCCGACTCTAGAAAAAGGAGCTTTAACTCATCCAACTGCTGGTGGCCATTAGACCCAGAAGTGTTGCCGTCAGCCAATCCTTCGTCCGTATAGAGGACGTCTATGCAGGTCATGGTGGTTGTAATAATGTTACCTCCAAAGGAAACTATCGATTCAACCTTTCGCCGGTTATCATCTGTGAGGCTGTGACTGCTGTATCTGCACTGCACAATTGGGGCGTTCTGATCAATGGTGGATGGTGGTGATCGCAGAGATGCAGTGATGCCAACTCTCCCGCTTTTGGCGGAAGACTTACCCTTTTTTGCCTTGTCTCCCGCTCTCCCACTGTGGTACATAAATCTCCCGCTTTTTATGTCCACTATAAATATTGAAGACTTTCGTATTCACAGTACGGTTTCTGGGGCATTTTTGCACGTATTTAGTCACCGACAAAGATTATTTCTAGCATCAAAACGATGATTTTGAATTTTGATAGTATGCACATCATGTAAGACATCATATAATGTCCTAAGTCATTCCCATTGGGGGCTGGGTCCATTTTTTTTTGGGGGGGGGGTTCGTTAAAATTCCGGGGGGGGGGGTGAAAAAAAGACAGTCTCCCGATTTTAGGTCTCCAGAGGTTGGCATCTCTGGAGATGGTTGGAGTGAAGGCGGTTGTAGCATGGCTCCACTGTTGACAACTGCCAAGGGAATGCTCTGACTCATGCTTGGTGGCTGTGCGGGTCCCTCTGGTGGCGTCTGTGGAACTGGCTGGTTACTTGAAAGTTTCACATCAAATGGCAAGACATCACTCAGCGAGTCCATGAGGATGTCTTCGTGGTTTAACTGATTGTTAGGCACTTCACCTTGGTGTCTGTTCTTCAGGGCAGTAAGATCAGCCACGATCTTAAGTCAGCTGTCTGATTTGTTCCTTCAGATCATCCATTAGGTCTGGAAACTCGGTCTGTACAGCCACGTTTGATTTTTTGAGGACATCTCGTCTGTAACACTGAATGGATGCCCTTTTAGTTGTTTCAGCTTTCTCACTGTTAATACGCTGCTGTCTTAACTGGGCCTGTTTTTCATCCTGCTCCCTCATGAATTCATTCAACATCTGCAACTACAAATTTAAAAATGTGTGGGCAGTTAATTAGGTGCAATAAGTGAGGCTCCCATTTAAACCTGATTTTAATACTGCACACGTGCTTCCCCTATTGTCTCGTCAGAATTGCCGAATTTCGCATCATGTAACGTCTCTATACTACAGGTACGAGTAAGATTTGCAATGTTTAAAGTGTTCTTTCCAAATGCCTCATGTTAATAGCTACAAGAAAAGCAACTGGACGCTCGTGCTAGGTACTCACAAGACAGACAAAACTAAGGCCCTGTCCACACGAATCCAAATACACTGCCTGTTTATACCGCGAAGAAAAAACAATAACGCCCCAAAATTTATTGTGTCTTTGAAGCAAAATAATTGGGAGGCTTCATTCTACACCATAAATCTTTGTTTCCCTGAAAAGTAGACCCCCAAAGCTTTAAAAAGAGACCAAATATAAATCTGCAAGTTGAATATTCTTTGAAGATTGTAATGCTCTTTTGTTGAATCTTGGTGAAAGAATTGTTCAACATTACAGGCTTACCTTGTCACTCGAAGCTTTTCTGTTGTTTTGACGTACCAGCATGCTTATCTTCATTGGTTCTTTTCTTTCCAGGAGAAACTGGTTCCAGGTTGAAAAGCCCTAGGTTCGTCTCAACAAAAGCCCTTTCCTCTTTATTAATGTTATCTTCGTTACCTAAAAATTGAGAAAATGCAATTGTTATAAAGCCTTAAAGGGCAACAACAATTATACGAAACAAAAACTTGAAATGCAGCGAAACTAATAATCCGGAAAAAGATTGGAAAAGACGACTCTACTTACCACCTGTCGCAATGACCATAGCTTCCAGCAGCTTGCCTCCACTTTTGACCGTAATCACGTCTCTGGCATTTGGTGCAGTCTCTGAAAAAAGCTTCCCTGTCTCTTTCAATCGCAGTTTTTTTGTTTCAATAATGCATGTACTTTTGTCAAAAGCAAAATACACTAGACACAGTTTTGGAACTTTGGTAAGGTTGCATAAAGCCATGAACCTCTAGTAACAATCTGGCACAAGGCTGTAACCACAGTGAAACTTTTTTGCTTGTGTGAGGCTTTTACGTTATCTTCTTCCTCGATCTCTCTCGGTTTGAATAATTTGCATTTCCTTGACACGTTCTAATTGATCTGAATCTTCCGTTGTGAAATTTACTCCACAGTGAGAATGTTCCAATGCATTGTGCACCATGTTTACTGTGTTGTGTTTTAGCATTACACAATGTCACTTTCAAGTAACTATGGTAACGTACAATACCCCATAATAAGACATGTTACTAAGACGAAACTTGCAGTAATTTGAAGCACCTCTTAGTCATATAAAAGCATGGGTTTAGGTTTTAGTCGTACTACATGAGTGATTTATCTCTCTTTCGTTGTGTTAAAATTGTTCTACCGATTGATATGTAGTAATTATGCGAACATATCAGATATTGTGGGGTTGGTGATGTTAGTATCAATGACAGACATCAACAATTCTTTCGACACAAGCCAATAATCTAAGCGGCATTGCACTTTCAAGGAATTGTTACGCCATGTAAATTGTGTTTTGTTGGTATGTTGATTTCTCCAAATGTCATGAAGTTTAAAACGCCGGGTTAAGCCTTCAATCTCGTCAATGACTTTTTGTTTTTTCTGAACAGTAGCACCACCCATTTTATCTGTAGGTGTTAATGGGCAATTCATGTCACCTCCCAAGATGATTTGTGCATCTGCAAATGGTAGGAGAATGTTATCAAGATTGCGAAAGAAAGCTATGGGCGGTAGAGTCATTTGGCGCGTAAATGTTGCTAAACAAGAAGGAAATTAAGATTCTAGCACGTTGGCTTTTAATAGCAAGAATCGTCCATTCTTATCAGCGATGATGCTTTCTGTTTCGAAATCCAGACTCGGTTTAAATAATATCATCACACCTTTTGAATGTGTTGTTCCATGACTGTAATAAATTTTCCCTCCCCATTCTGCTTTCCATATTTCTTCGACACTTTTGGAAGAGTAAGTTTCTTGTAAATAAACAACGTCGAATTTTTGATTGTGGAGCCATCTAAACACCCGCCGTCTCTTTCTAGCTTGATTTAAACCTCTTACGTTTAAAGAACAAAAGGAGAGTCTAAACGGGGCAGCCGTGAATTAGCAGCATAGAATATTCTATCGGTTTCGTTGAGGAAGATATGTAATGTAAATTAAATAATATACATTAGTAATCAGCCTTATCGCAAGCTGAAGGAGTACAAGACTAAGCTGTAGGGAGATAAATCTAAGTATATCAAAATAGATTCTAAACATGTAAATAGAAACGGCTATACAGAAACGCTGAGACACAAAACGCACAGTTATTAGAGCACAAATTGCTCAAAGTAGGGAAACCCCTTCTTACACCTAAACGGGTTCCCTATGAACAGTTTAATGCTAAATAAGTAGGCGCTATGAGCGAAGCAAACTCTTGGGAGCGCGAAAGGAATCAATTATTTACAGCAACTGACTAATCATGTACCATAACTTTACCGTACAGAGGAAGATCTTTAGTTTCTTTTCCACGATAAACTTGCCCTTCAATAATAAGTTTGTCGACATTAAAGAAAGCTTTTTTCTTCTGGGCTTTAGCAGCTTTCAAGATTGGGTAAAGTTTCTTGTGCATATCGGCGATTTCTTTTGGGAAGTCACTGGCAACACCGATCTTTGAGCCTTTTGGTAAGCTTCTAGCGTATGAAAAAATTTGCTCCTTGTCTTGATAGAAGCTGGCTTTGGCGATTATTGGGCGCGGACTCTTAGATTTGTTGGTTTGATTAACAGCTCGGGTGTTAGAAATTCGATGAACTCTTTCGAAGCTCATATTGTTTACGTCTTCTTCAGGTATTTGAAGCTGTTGTATCAGGACGTTTCTCAACACTTGCTCGGTTTCTGCTGGAGTTTCATGTGAAGAATCTCTGACACCGTAAACTCTGAAGTTGCTTCTTCTTGACTGAGCTTCAAGACGTATGTTGCGACATACTAATTTGTCGACTTCAGCCTTCAACTGATCATTTTCTTTGCGAAGCGAAGCAGTCACCTTTTCAGTCGCCGCGGCAGCATTTTTAATTTCTTGAATTTCCATAGTTGCAGAATTCAAACTTTCCATTAGTTGCTTGTTTTCCTCTGTGAGTTTAGCAATTACTGATTTTAGGTCATCAACAGCTGGTTTGAGAAGAAGTAAGCTTTCTAACTTATTCCTGATATCGTCAAGGGCTTTCAGCGTGGCGTCACCCTCGTGGTCGGGAAGCTCCTCGAGGTCGTCGTCAGTTTGAGAACCTTTTTCCCGTATTCTTTTTGCCCTTCTTCTAGAGGAAACGTCATTTTTCCCAAGCGAGTCAGTTTTGGCTGCCATTCGGTAAAAAATTAAGTGCGCTCCATGGTTATAAGCGGAGTTTACATCGAAAACGACGGAGCGATAAAAGAAACGACCATCTTTGACAGCGCCTAATTAGCATTAGTTTTACACTTGCCCGTGGCTACTTAACAATGTTTATGGTTTTCGAAGATAGTCCTGTGTTGGGTTGTATCGCATACAAAAAATTAACTTCGCTCTTTTAATTTTGAGGAGTTTGTGAGCTTCAGAAAATGGTCAAAATCTGCTTGCAAAAATGGCGTCCGAGGGGGGTAAAATAAAGTGATGCTCGTATCTCTAATACAAGAGCAGTGAAGAACCTATGTTTATTATATTTGTCCATTACTCCACCTAACCTATCTATGATGTTAGTATGAGCTTATTCTGTTGACCCCCTTCCGTTTTTAAGATTTTGCCCGGTTTTCTCTGACAACTACTCTTAATTTTCACTTGAAATTTCTACAATTAAATGTGATTAAAATGTTCGCTGTGCAGTAAAAACTGTTTTTTACCTTACTCTCGGCTATTTTCTTCGAACTCCCAATAACTCGAACCTTTTTTCGATTTCCCTGAAGGTTCGAGTTATCGGGAGTCGACTGTATAAGGAAAGATAGTAAAAATAAGACGTTATTAAGAGCCAGTTTCTGTAAATATCGAGAATCCGGCGACAGTTTCAAAATTTTCACTTTCTTCATATTTTGCCCAAATAAAGCCTTTAGTGAGTTATTTTCGAAAATACAATTACAAGATCCCAAAGCGCTCGAGTTTTTTCAAAATCGAGGAAAGTTTAAAAATCGCCATTTTGGCCTGCCGCCGCCTTTGAAAATTGACAAAAATGCTGCATTTTCGTTTCGCTCGTGCTGGTAAACGTGATGACATCTAGCAATGTACTTTTGACATTTCATAGCACTTCACTTGCTCTTTCTAAAACACTAGATTACTTTAAAAAGCTGTCAAAATAGTCTTGTTTCTGGCCGTTTTAGTTACCCCACTTGAAGCACTTGAGCGACTAGGCTAATTTTCGCTTACTTCTACCCCAAGAAAAGCCCACTGGTACATAGAAAACTAGTATGGTCTTAAAGCACATCCTTTATACTTTGTTGTGTGAAAATTTTTTCCGCGGCCCGCAAAAAGTGTTCCGTAGAGAAACGGAAACGTTAAGACCATTTTGCCACCTAAATCAATTTACGAGACAACATGTTTCCCTACATACCTACGCAAACAATTTAAATATTGCTCTGGAAAACCTTCCACATATTTCTTACCGCTTGAATATCGGATAATAGACACATATGTAACTGTTACCTTTTGATTTTTATCTCATTGTAGCGAATAAGTGCTAAAAACGCTTCCATTACCGACTCGTGTATGTCATTACCGAGTTAATATTATCAAAGCAACCATTTCAGCTTCGGTTCGTTCCACGACAGGGATTCTATTTTTCAAAGTCTATATTTCTTTTGATACTACAAGTTTATAAGTTTGTAATAAGCTGTTTGATCGACCATCTTCCCAAAAAAAAGAAATTGTGAGTGGTTTTATAGCTTTCAGCTTTGCTTTCAGAGACATTTTAATTTGTAACATTACATTCACAGGGAATTTTTGGTGATTCCCAAAGTGGCAAAAAAACAGGAAATTCGTGGGGTTTTCTTGGGTTTTGGTTGTAATTTCCCAAATTGGGAAAATGCTACCAAAACCAATATTGGGTTCAAGTAAACCCAATAAAAACCCGCAAATTGGGATTTTACCGTACCAACTTTAACCCAGGAATGGAGTTTTCGCGTCTCATATTTATCCCATTAATGGGATTTTACCAACCCACAAAAACCCCAAAAATGTGATTCAATTGTCCCAGTTGAACCCCAATAATGGGTTAATACTGGGCCATCTGAAACCCAATGTAGGAATTATATTGGAACAGTAATACCCCAACCATGGGTTTTTATTGCCCCAGGTAATCCCCAATTAGTGGTATAACATTGGTCCACTTTTATCCCATTAAAGGGATAGTATTGGACCAATTTAAACCCGAGGTATGGGAATATATTGGGATAGTGACACTCAAAAGATGGGTTTTTATTGCCCCAGTTGATCTTCAATAATGGGATAACATTGGCCCACATATTTCCTGACTTATGGACTTATGAATGTAATTGTAATCAATCAAGCAGCCTTTAAAAATATTGGTCCAGTTGTAAAACACACAAAAAAGGTTCGACAATATTAATATTGTTAACAGTAACATTTATTTTAAAAGACAATGCAGGTGTCACTTCAAACTGGTTGATTGTTACTAAAGAGGTATTTAATCTGTATCTCTTTATATGTAAATATAACGTCCAAAAATACAATATCATTGAAAACTGTATCATAAAAATATATTAAACTGTTTAATTTAAGTTCATTCACCAATCATAGAGTAATGCAGTTATGCAGCTAGAGTCATATTGTCGAAGGCTATTCCATACATTCATCAAACAGCTCAATTCCTTTATGAACACATCAAATGTCCCTTAACTTCATTTTCATGGTTAAGAGCAGCAACATTTATATCAGAACCACTATGGTATTTAGTTATAGCTAGGTCCTACCTGGGAAAAAACAGCGTCAAGTCATAA